TATGTGTAGAAAGAGTAATGAAAATAATTTTTTATTTTTCAATCTGAAGAATTTTGCTCTCTCATAACTTTGAAGAGCAGATACTCAATTGTCTTTATGTTAGTATTGAAGTTCTCATTAAACTTTTCAATTCAATTAAATACTTTCCCAGGAATAATTTCATCATTGATTAATAATTAAGAATTTGAATGATATTAAAAAGAAAAAAAATTGAATATAAAAATATGATGCCTCCACGCAGGATCGAACTGCGGACCTCCAGTTTACTAGACTGGCGCTCTACCACTGAGCCATAGAGGCACATCGACCTTCGTTTTTTTCTTGTTTTTTTTTTTATCTAATTGAAATCAAATTAAGTTTATTCTTGAATACAATTTCATATTTAAATTACATTATCAGATTTTTTTTCTATATTTTTTGACTTATATCAATCTCAATAAAAAAACTAAATCAACGAAGATAAATATCAGTTTATCGTTAATAGAAACACTTTCTTTTCAATTTGTTTTTTTTTAAAGCGAAGTCAGTTTGTACAAATTCGTATTCCTAGAATATGTTCCAGTAATCTTTCGTACTGACGAGGGAAGGTTGCCAAATGTGATGCGCTGCTTTGAATCGGATCTATACTAGTTTGTTGAGCTCGATGAGACTAGACGAAGCCTAAAAAGGTTTGTCCTCATACGCTGTCCTTCTCGAGTTATGATCGTTTTACTGGATTTTCGGCCACTGGCAAAGTATATATGAGAAAATTGAATGATATGATTCTGATCTGAAATTTTGCCTACAGATAGGTCTCATGGTCCTTAGAATGTTCTCTTCTTGAGATATTGGTATCCAAGAAACGATCATATGTCGCAAGAAAATATTCTTTTGAGCTGAATTTTTTAGGACATTCTAAGGACCACGGGACCTATCTGTGAAGAAAATGTCAGATCAAAATCCTGTAATTCAATTTTATCATACATGCTTTGCCAATGGTCGACAATCCAGTAAAACGATCATAACTCGAGAAGGACAGCGTATAGGGACGAACCATTTTAGGCTTCGTCTAGTCTCATCGAGTTCTACAAAGTAATGTAGATGCGATTCAAAATGGCGCGTCACACTTGGGGACTTTCCCTCGTGAGTGATGTCTTCTATAATTAATTTTTCCAGTAATGAGTTCATTATCGCTATTAGTAATTTTATACTTTAAGATTCGAATGTTCCTGATTTGAATAGGTAAGATAACATTAGCGCTTGTAGATTTTGCTACTGGGTGTGAGCGTGGGTATTATTATCTTCCTCATACCCACACCCCACCCACTCCTGATTCTTTATCGCGTAACAGACGATGTATTTGGGTGACGCACCTTTGAGTAACTGCTTTCATTTGTGCAGATAAGTTCGATAAGACAATCATGTTGTTGACTTTCAGTAGTGTTGTTTTCTTCATTCGAAAAAAAAACTATGAAAGTGAATAAACACGTGGCAATAAAGATTCTATGGTGTCTTGAAACCGTTGCGAAGAAACTTCTTGACACATTACTGCGCAAAACGATGAATAACATTGCTGATAAAAGAGGCTCCTCAATTTGGAGCACAAAAAAAAATCTTTTTTTGCTTTTCCAACGTTTTTCAGGGGAAGCAATTGCAGCCCCTTTGCACCACACATGCTAGTAACCAGTTAAGCAGTTCTGTTCCACTGACAATCTTTGGTTGTACTTTAAGAATATCAACTAATGTTTTAACAATTAAAATCTTTCCAGTATCCGATTTTCCATGAGGACAAAAATCACGAGATTTTATAAAACCCCTAGGGCTAACAAACGATCTTCGGCATAATCTTAAAAGAAGCACATCACCAAAAATTGTTTTGAATACATTATCAAAACTTTCAACAAAATATAATTCGTTACAAATAACTTTAACATGATATCGACTAGGATGAATAAAACATATTTGATATTCTCACTCACTGGTAAAGAATGAAAAATACGTTTTCTGCACAAAGATGGCTGAGGCATTTTTTATTGAATGAGTAAAACAATTCTTTTTATCATATTCTTTCTTTTATCCTGATTCGAGATACGACGAGTGATACAAGAGATACTACATGTACAAGAGATTGTAGGACGCTCTACCAGTAGTATATTATGACTCTCGTGTGAATATGTCTCTCTGTGCAGACTATACTAAAGAATTGCTTGAAAATTAATTTCTTCGAGTTTTTACTAAAATCAAGGACAACAGACGAAATTTTGAATCTTTGAGAATGAAATTCATAGAAATTTCAAATGTCATCGATTTATATCCAATTATTTATGCATTGTTAATGTTCTTTGATCATCGTGAGCATGCAATTTAAGTGAATCAAATGTAAGTCAAAAACTTTTACGCTTTTCTCAAAACTGGTTTTATATCTAGAGAAACTTGAAGACCTCAATTATCCAAATATATGATCTGTATATGGACGTTTACAATATGAAAATTTATTAGGACAAATTTTGAGTTTTTAATTTTTGAGAAAAATAGTCCTCAATCCATATTGGTAGCTGATTAGAACTTCTTCTCTTTAAAATTTTAGTATATAAACCTAGAGAATTCTTTAATACAACTTCAATTTAGTTCAATATTCTGCCAGATACAAAAGCTATGTGGAAATTCGATCAACTTGATATGAAGTCTTATCTTTAACTGATCTTGTATTGCACAATGTTCAATCTAGAATTAATTATTCATCAATTTTTCTTGTACATAAAGAGAAAAATTTCATGTTTATAACGAACAAAATAAGTAATATTAACGTTGATTGGTTTTTTTGAAACAAGAAGAAGTTCTGAATGCAAAGTTCAAGAAAAAATTTAGGTTAAAATTTTCATTTATTTCATATTAAAAGAATTTGACCATGATTATCACGAAAATACATCAAACTTGTTTTTTTTCTTCTAATCATTTATTCCTACGTGTCTTTTTCTTTCATTCATCAATTTTCCAGTCAACAAAACTCTTAACGATTCAGCAATAATTATTCTATAAATACAATGAAGAATCTGCGTAATATGAAGGTCTAACGTATGTCAAGCAATAATGATAAGATGTATCGAGAATACAAAAAAAAAAAAGAACATTAAATGCAATTACAAGAATATATCGACATAAGATGACCTTTATTAAATATTCATTAATAATGACTTATTGTTAAAAAATTTTGAATTCATTTCTGATTATAATTTGAACACTTAATAAATTTTTATATAATTCAATAAGGAAATGAATTTTTGTTATTATGTAAAAGCACAAGAAAAGAAAAGGAAATGAATAGTAGTTGTTGTATTTCCACATGAATAAAGAACTAATCATCAATAAGAAAGAAGAGGTCGTTGTTTATAAGCGTTACTTATCAAATGTGAATTTGTATTGATAGTGGCGTTATTCTCGACAACTAACATATTGATTTTCCTCTATTTGATTCTTAATTAACCATTATTTTTTATCTTATCATTAAATAATGTTCATTGTATAGAAAATTTCTATTTGTTTTTATTAAATATGAGAATTAATTAATTGTAGTAACATTATGAATCGAAAGTGGGAGGTTTGTTTTTTTTTTTTTTGTTGAATTTTTATTTTATTCGAATGTTTTTTTTTTTTTGTTTTAATATATTAGTCCATTGAAAGTAAAAATCGAGTATTTTGTAATGGTCGTTGTATTACCGGTCATAATCTTGGTATATTTATATTTGCACTTTTTCTAATCATTGCTATATCTGGACTTTTCTTTGGTTTTGAGTAAGATTTCGATGAGAGAAAAAAACTGATGTATATATATTTTTTTTTTTTTTTGAAATTTTAGTTGTCCTTATCTAACCAAACGACTTAGTCCAGCTATACCAGTTTTTGCTGCTATTATATTTCTTATGGTTATTTGTTGTATTGTACGTACAGCTTTTACAGATCCTGGTATACTTCCTCGAGCAACACCAGATGAAATACTCTATCTTGAAAAATCAGGTTAAAATTTTGAGAATTTACATACAGAAAACTAATCTATATTTTTATTATAGATAATTCACAAAATGTAGCTTTATCTGGACGAGTTATGGAAATTCAAATGTATAGTGGACATCGAATTCAACTTAAATATTGTCAAACATGTAAAATTTTTCGACCACCACGAGTATCACATTGTTCATTATGTGATGCATGTATTGGTAAGATTAATTAGAAAATAAGAGAAAGAAAAAAAAAAGCCTAAAATATAATATTTTAATTATGCTTTTTTTTTTTATTTAGCAAATTTCGATCATCATTGGTATGTATTTATATTTTGATATTAATTTTAAAAAAAAAAATGATTTATTTTCTCTAGTCCATGGGTTGGAAATTGTGTTGGTCTACGAAATTATCGATATTTTTATTTATTTTTATTTTCATTATCAATTCTTTGTGTTTATATATTTGTTTTTAATATTATCAATATTGTTTTACGTAAGTTTTTATTTATCGAATTTAAAGAGTTTTCTTTTTTTGCTTATGATCGTAAAAAACATAAACAATAGTTAAAAATTGTTTTCTTTTCTTCTTTCTTGTAATGGATCGAAGAATATCCCAGAAGACTTTAGCAATTATATTTTCTATTAACATTATTGTTATTTCGGGAAATTTCATCTTAATCATATTACTATCATTATAAAAAGAAAAAATAACATCCATGAGGATGATCTTTTCAGTTATTATACTTAATAATAATATTCCATTTAAGTTATTATATACAAAAAAAAAAAAACTCGACTTATCATTGTTATTAAAATAAATATGAATAGGAGCACAAGATGCATCAACAGTTGCTGATGCAATTCGTGAAACACCAGCAACTATTGTCGAAGCATTAGTATGTTTTATATCAATTTGGTCTGTTATTGGTCTATGGGGTTATCATACATATTTAATTTGTCGTAGTGTTACAACGAATGAAGATGTAAATATTTGAA